TACATGTGAACAAGTAGTCCCAGCCACCTGTGGTTCTCAGATGCTGCTCACCGACTGGCATTTGAGAAGGCTGCTAGCAAACTCAACCAATCAGAACCCAGTAGAGCTCACGCCGAGTGTATTTCCCTCGACCCTCAGAGAGGGGTATCAAACTCTAAAGGCAGCTGATGTGGCACTTTATAAGCAACATACATTTACGGGGGCAGGGTGGGGGGAAGGAATTAGCCATGACTGGTGATTAATAATAATAATAAATAAGATTTTATCCATCAAAAACAAATGTCTGCTAGCACAGAAAATGGACGAAAGCAGAAAATTTGAATCTGCTTATACAAGACAAAAGCAGAAGATTCTTGAAGAATGCAACTTGCCTCATGCTACTTCTTTCATCTAGGTCCTAACTGTTCTAGAGCAGTAGTTCCCAGTCTTGACTGCAGACCAGAATCTCCTCAGCATCTTTTAAAATGCTTAGGTAAATGAAACAAAAAGCCCGCCTATATCTTGGCCTTTTGGACTGGAATAGACCCAGGCACTGGAATCTTTTAAACACTCCCCAGGTAGTTCCAATGAATAGCCGTGGTTGAAAACTGCTGTTCCAGGGCCACTTTTGTCAGGGCTCTCAAGCCAAGAGATGAAGGACCTTGTCTTCATCTTCACGACAGAATAGGACATGAGGGAAGAAAAACGCAAAATAGATGCTGGCCCCAGCCTCCCCCCTCCCAGCCCCACTCAGCCTCTCAGCCTTTCCTGCTCTCAATTAAGTCCCAGAGAAGAAAGAGGACACCAGATTCTTTATGGGCATGCCTTCCCTGCTGACAGAATAGGACATGAGGGAAGAAAAACGCAGAATAGATGCTGGCCCCAGCCTCCCCCCTCCCAGCCCCACTCAGCCTCTCAGCCTTTCCTGGTCTCAATTAAGTCCCAGAGAAGAAAGAGGACACCAGATTCTTTATGGGCATGCCTTCCCTGCCCCTGCCTCTGCCCCTTGCAGCCCAAGGGGGCCTTGGAGACTCCCCCAGGGCAGTGCTGAGCTCTCTTCTTGTGAATAACTAACTAAAGGGGTAACTGCTTCCCTGGCTCAGGTGGGTCCACATTCACTGCTTTTGGACAAAGGCCACTTCAAAGCTTAAGGAGCAAGGAACACTCAAGAAAATGAAAACTCCAAGCAGAAGAGAACTGAAGTGTGTCTCTGACTATAGAAATGGGTAGCAGTTTAGAGCTCTTTTCAAAAAAGGAGCCATAAGACCAATAATATATCACCATGTCTTTTTTACTGCAGTGTCTCAAGCAGCCATTACAAAAGGGAACAGGTTCATTCCACGGGCTCAGAGGACAGATAGATAGTGGAAGTCGTAAGCAGGAGGATTCCAGCACCAAGTAGCAATAGTCACAATGGAAGCTGTCCAGGGTGGAAAGGCGCTCTGGGAGCATGTGAGCAAGTGGCTGGGAGTAGGTCTCTGTGAGTGAGCTGGGATAGAGGACCCTGCCCTTGGGGGGCATGCTGGAAGGAGGAAGGGGCAGTTCCTGCACAAAACACCACTTTATAGAGCCAGTAGCAGTTTGTTCCCTTGGTTCCTCCTTGTGTGAGCCCTGGTCTCACTCTGGCCATGCCAGGGTCTTGGTCAAGCCCCATGGGGCTGAGATCTGCCTGAGTGAAAGGAGACGGCTGGAGATAAGCCCCTTGATCTTGGGCAGAGGAGGGGGCCTGAAGAGGCCTCTGCTTACCCACCTCATCCTCCTGCCAGCTTTGGAAGGAATGAGGGAACAAACATGAAATGTCTATCCCAGGACACAGAAAAACCCTGTGACAACACACCCCATGCTAGCAGAGATTCTGATATACTGTGATTGGCAGCTGAGTATATACTGGAGTACACAGCTTGGTGGCTGCAAGTACTTGCTCTGGTCATTTTATTAACTTTGCAATAAAGTGACCTTGCATTTTCTATTTTTTGGATCCACCTCCAGCTTTATGGCACGGTTTTCACTGTACACATCACGGGCTCCTATCCCAAACTCAGGAAACCAAATGGGATGAAAGCATCAGACTCCAAACTGACTTCTTTCCACCTTGCTTCAGAGTAGGAATGTAATGGGCACTCCCCACGCCCTCCGCAGCACCGTGTGAGTGGAGAAATGTCCCTGCACCTGTCCTTCCTCTCGTTCTACTGTGGACCCTGCTACTCTATATCTGGTTTAGAGCCACACTAGCTCACCCCAGACACCATCTGCCCCACAACAATGCTGCTCACCACTGTCTGGTTGATCTTTGTAAAACGTCTTTCCATGCTCTCTGTGACTCCACTCCACTGCTCCACAACCACTTCAGAGTGCACAGCCATGGGATTCAAGTCAAAATCCTCCCTTGGGATTCTCAGCTGGCCTCAACCCACCTTCCAGCCCCATTCCCCATGCCTCTCCTGCACCAAACTCTTCTCAAGCCAAATAGTCAACTGAAGGATTGACATTTGTAGAAGGCCACTCTGTGCCTAGGGCTGAACAGGGCTACTTGGTGGAGTGTAAAAAATACTGGGGCACTGGGTCAGCCTCTTGGAGAACAGGGTGTATGTGAATAATAACACAAGAAATGGGGGAAATGCTGTTAGCAGGTAGCTCATGATTCATTGCCAAGCGGTGCTGTCTGTATTCAGTGTTGCAGACTGTGAAACTCCAAAGATCGCAGGAGGCTGGGGACTACTCCTAAATGCGTTTATGGAGATAGAAAAGGAATAAAGATACTAGCTACCACATAAGATTCACTGGACTAGACACTTCATGAATATGAATTGCAATGGTTGCCTAAATTAAACATCATTTACTCCATCAAGTTTCCCCCCGTAAGTAACTTGCTCAAGATCACGCAGCTAGTAGATGATGGAGCTGAGCTGCAAGTCCAAGTGTGTCTAATTCTGCTGCAGGAATCCACTACGCCCCACTGTCTCTCCCCACATGTCTGACATAGGCCGAGGTTTCTCTCCCCAGCCAGACGTCTAGAGCTCTGGGGGGAGTCAGTGATTCAGACCTGCTTCACCTTGCCTCCTTCACACCAACAGCCCTGCCAAGTGCCCGGAGCACGGCACTTGAGTGGCTGCCCACCCCCTCCGCAGCTGCCACACCATGACCATCCAGCCCCCTCCACTGCCCAGCAGCTCCCAGGACACCCACTGGGACTGAAGAACAACCCTTGGCATCACAGATACCATTTGTCTCCCAAATCTTGAGAACAGATGGCACAGCCAGGAGGACTTTCTGTTGCAAAGGCCACAGAAGCCCGCGTGGCTGTGGCTCTGCCAGCTTTGTATTATCATACAAATGAGGTGATGCAGCCTGGAGGAGCCTAGGGGAGTGGCAGGAGTCTGCAATACATTTCCATTTGGCTTTGGAATGGGCTTTGGCTTCCGCCCTTAAATACGGTGTGATTATGGCCATATTTGTGAAGCCACTTGAAGCTCTGGTATGGAGAACGGATCTCAGAAGCAGTGGGAAGCCCCACCTCCACCAGCCCTCCCCGCCCCTTCTGAGGAAGAAAGGAAGAGGAGCAAAAATCCGGAGCTGACTCAAAGCCTCATCTCCCACCTGCCCCCACATCTAGGCAGTAAGTGCTGTGGTTTCCAAGATAAAGACCTCTAATCTGAAGGGACTGAGGCTAAATCAAGAGGCTAGAGATGGCTGACAGGCCCTATGGGGTTGACAACAGCGATAACAACAGCCATCAAAGTTTGCTAACCACATACTCCCCCAGGCAGTGATAAGTGCTTTATGCAGATTATCCCAACTAACCTCCACCAAAACCCTGCAAGATACCTTGTGAGGAGACCGCGGTCAGAGAGGTGACGTGACTTGTCCAAAGGCACACAACTGGGGACTGGGCAGGGATGCGACCCCAGGTGGCTTACCCGCGGCTGCGGTGCGCGGCGCAGCGCTCCAGCGGCAGGCGCAGGACGCCGTCGCTCAGCCCCACGAAGAGCGCGCGGGCGCTGTGCAGGATGCGCAGGCTGCGCAGGGGCTCGCGGCGCCCGGGCGGCAGCACGTGCAGCTCCTCCAGGTAGCAGCCGCGAAGGCTGCGGCACGCCGTGGACAGTGCCTTCAGGATGGTGCCCGACTCTGAGGGGCCAGACGAGGGTGGCCTTGAAGGCCCCGGAACCTCGCGGCCCCGCCCCCGCCCCTCCGCCACCTCCCCTCCCGCACCCGCTGCCGGGTCGGGCCTGGCCTGCTCACCCGTGCCGATGTAGAGCACGTGGTAGAGCGTGTCCTTGGCCTGCACAAGGTCCACCACGAGGTGAGAGAAGCGCACGCTGTCCTGGGTGACACAGGGCTCGGGCGTCACCGGCTGCACGGCCTCGCTCATCAGGAACAGGCGCTGCGCGTCCTGCAGGCTGCGCTCCGTCAGGTTCTCGTTGGGGCCCGTCTCGGGCAGGGTGCCGCACTGCCAGAGGGAGCCAGGTCACGCGTGCCCGGCCGCCGGGGCTGCCGCGACCCCCTACCCGCCTCCTTCTTTGGAACCCAGGTGGGCAGATGCTGATTCCCCAACGTCCTCCACCCCCAATATCCCTACTGGGTCCCCTGTACCCTTTCCAGGGAGGGATGCCTCTTCTTTAAGAAATAAGAGGAAACCAGGCTGGGAAGATGGGAGAGGAGGGACCTGCGAGGGCTGGGGAAGAGAAGGAAGGAGAGCAAAGAGGTCTGGACTATCTAAAAATGGGTCATTTTTGAGTGTAGACAAGTGTCCTGTGATTTACCCTACCCCACAGGAGCTGGAAGGCAGACCACTTTTTATAGAGCAACTACTACATTCCAGGCATATCGCTGGACTATCTAAAAATGGGTCATTTTTGAGTGTAGACAAGTGTCCTGTGATTTACCCTCCCCCACAGGAGCTGGAAGGCAGACCACTTTTTATAGAGCAACTACTACATTCCAGGCATATCAACCTTTGCACATATCTATGAGCCATTATCATCTGTCATGGTATAACCCCTAATTCCAGATAAGGAAAAAGAGATTCAGGAGTTAGGGTGACACAAGGGCACACAGAGACATGCTAGATCTGGGCCAGGATTGTCAGACTGCAAAGCCTGAAGTCTTTCCCAGCTGCACACCGCCTCCTGGGCAGGAAGTTGGAAGGACATGAAAGTCAACCATCAGCAGCCTCCTCTGCCCCCTTGATCTTTCCCCTTCTCCATCACATGCTCCCATGGCCAGGACCTGACCACTCAGAGCATGCTCCCACCACCCATGGCTGGCCCCTGACCACACTCCCAGCACTCAGAGATCCTACAGGCATTAGTACCCACGCTGGACACACTGAGAGTAAGCTCCAGCAAAAATCCCCAAATACTGGCCAGACAGCTTGTGTGGTACTCTCTTGGTCCCCTACACTGCATAGAGCTGAGGTCCCACCTCCCTGCCCCATGCAGGTGTTGGGTCACATTTAGAGATGGCTCAGAGCATGCTTCCTTGCTGTGCCTCGCACCACTCTGCTCTTCTCACTCACAGTCTCAGAGGGTTACCACCCTTTTAGGGAACCAGCCCAGGCCTCAGAGATGGGTGCAGACCAGCAGGGACAGGTCTGGTGTTTGTGCTAAGCGGTTGGGAACTGGCTTATGGCTGGTAGTCTGGAGGAAGGCAGTGTGTGAAGAGAGAGAAGCAGAGGAGAAGGTATACCTGGAAATTGGGGATGGGATTGGCGATGGGGAGCCAGGCAGCCCTGGGGTTCTCTTGGTAGCGAAATGGGCCACTGAAAGCCTGGGAGATGGCACTGAGGTTGAAGGCGCAGACAGCAGAGGCGGCAATGCTGTTTCTGAAAGGCAAGAGATGGCAGGATGCTGCCCTCCCTGAAAGCCTTGGCACCCTCTGCTTAAAACCCACAGCTGCTGTCACGTCCATTCTGCACCATGGGGGTGGCACAGACAAGGAGATGTGGTCCTAACACTCTGGGAAAGACCCACTGACAAGAAGCCCTGGTGGACCCTTCTGTGCTACTTCTCCCTTTCCCTTATCTGATGGGAGGAGTCAGTGTTTTTCAAACATTTTAGTCCATGGCAAACAGTAAAAAATGTATTTTACATTACAGCTCAGTATAACACACAATCTGTAATGAAGTTTCATGAAACAATACTTACCTTTACTATGTTTTACTCTGGAATTTTTATTCTATTCTATTCCAATTTATTTATTTAAAAATCTGGTTAATAAACTACTGATTCATGCTGTAGCCTGCAACACCCTGAGCCAGACGACCTCTAAGACCCTTTCAATCACAGAATCACATTTCCACGAGTCTGATGTGAACAGTTCTCACAGACAGTACCACCCATACTAAATCTTTCCAATTCCATTCTTCATATTTAGTTCCACTCCCGAATGTGTCCATTTCTCTCCACCTCTACCTGCTCTCAGTCCCCTCCACTCCCCCTGGATGCTGCACTGTCCTCCTGGTGTCTCCCTGTAGCCTGTCCAGTCTCCTAATCCATTCTCCACACAGCAGCCAGAGTGAGCGTTTCAAAATGCACACCTGAGCTGGTTGCTGGCCTGCCTGAAACCCTCCAATAACTTCTCCTTGCTCTGAGGATAAAGATCAAAACCTTAAAGCAGTCTACAGGGCCCTTCGGGACACAATCCTCCCTGCCCTACCCCTCCAGCCTCCTCTCCTTTTTCCTCCTCACCCTTGAAGCTCCTGCCACACTGGTCTCTGCTCAGTTCCTGAAACATTTCTTCCCACCCTAAAGCTTTGCATGTGTTGTTCCCTAGGGCTGAAATGCTCTTCTCCCCTAGTTAACTTCCACACATCCTGTAGAAGTCACTTCCTACAGGAAGCCTTCCCTGGTCACCACCCCTCCAAACACTTAGAGCTTTCTTGCACACTGCCTTTTATCACCGTTAAAGCTGGTTGTTTAATGTCCATCACCCTCTCTAGAGTGTAAGCTCCTTAAGGACACAGCCATGTTTGCTTTTGTTGGCCGGTGCTCCACCCCCACCAGGACAAGCACCTGGCATAGAGAAGGTGCTCAATAAATAAACTATGACCAATCCACATTGATGCCATTTCTCTTGATGCCTCTCCAGTTACTCCTGCCCTCTGCTCATGGCCGCCCACCTCTGGTGCTGAGGGCTGGGCACACTACATCCTGGCCAGCCAGCTTGCAGCTCATGGCCTGTGTGGGCTGTACGGCATGTCTGCCTGCTGGCTTGGCTGGCCTCTCTGCTCCTGCTTCCCAGCCTTACTGTCATCCCTGTCCATCCCCTCAGACTGTCCCTCCTATAGCTGGCCTGGGCCTCATTCAGTGTCTGCTACCTGGTGTCCAAGGAAAGCAAACCCCACTCTATGGCTCTGAGGTGTCTGATGTCCTTGCATACAAAGGGCACTGTATGTAGCATCTTGTACAGCAAACACTTTCCTTGGTCTCTGATGCTCACCCATCATGGTCTACAGGAAAGTCCCCTGAGTGGGTTAGCCTCTACACAGAAGGAGGTGGTGGAAGAAGGGTCTCATGATCTCCATGAGGGCTAACCTTCCTCACACCTAGGAAACAAAAGGGCTCTGTTTCCCAGACTGTGTTTTACAGTGCAGTCTAGATGGGATAGCAGAATTGCCAGAAGACTCTTCTGTTAGATTTAGCAGAATCACAGAGTCCTGAGCTTGGAGGGGGCCTGAGAGATCTCTGCTGAGCCTCCCTCTGGGCTGCTGCTGAACTCTCCCAGGGCTGCCATCCCCTCACCACAGCAGGCTTTCTCACTTTCATCACCAGCAAGTTCTTCCTTCGTGGAGCCATAATGCAGCTCCTTTGGCTTTTTCCACCTCTGGCCTAGGTCTGCCCTTCCCAGCAACCCAGAACACATGCTTACCACTCCGGAGGCAGTGAGGCACAAAATCCCCAGACGACCGGTGCGGAGGCACAGCAATCCCCATTTTGTCGATGAAGAAACAAGGGATCAGAGAGGAACCTGTCAAGCCCACCCACCAGGCAGCAAAGGCAGGCTGGAGCAGGTTCCTGACGTCACAGGAAAGGGGTGACAGCAGGCAGGGACTCACACATTGGTGGTGAAGACTCCGTAGATGAGGTCCTGCTCAGGCAGATGGAAGGCACTCTGCAGCTCGTTGTAGTAGAAGGGGACCTCGCCCGGGCGGGAGCAGTTGAGCCGGGCCTTCATGAACGTCGTCCACGTGTCCTCCAGCAGGAATCGGCCCCCCACATCGTTCTTGCACACGCGGGCCACCCGAGAGTACACGGTGCGCCCACAGTCATGCTCCACTGCGTTCTCCCGCAGGAAGAAGTATGCGAACAGCCCAATGTCATAGGCTGCCACAAAGTTTGGCTCTGGGGGCAGAAGAGGAAAAGGGTGGGTCAGGCCGGCAGGGAATTAGGGGGCAGAGTCAGGAGGACTTGGCTACTTCAAGCCAAGGCATCCTGACACCCCTCACGTCTGTCAGCTTAGTGCCCTGGGGGTCTAACTAACCCTGTTCCCACCGCCAATACAAAGTGCAGCTATAGTGGTTAACATGTATTGCTGAGCACACACTGGGTACCAGACACTATCATAAGTATTTTGTATAGACTAATGCATTTGATCCTCCTAACAGCCTTTGAACCAAGTCCTTTGGTTATCTCCATATTACAGATGAGAACACTGTGGCACAGAGAGGTTAAGTACTCACTCAAGGCCACACAGCTAGTCAGTGGAGAAGCAGGGATTCAATCCCATGGGGCAGGAAACTCACACCAACCTCCCTGTAATTGCTTCTTTCCCACAACCGTTTTTTGAAATCAATTCCAAACTCACTCTCTCCCTTAACAGCCCACCCTCCATCTGTTCTGGTCCTCAGGACATCTGTGATTTCAGCTGGGGTCCATCTCCAAAACGCTGTGGTCTTTGGGCCAACATCTGCCCTACTCTGGGCCTCTTCCTTGATGAAGCAAGTGTGAGCCCTGGCAGAGGTTAGGCAGGAAGGAGAACGGATGGATGGGCAGTCAGGATGGGCTGGCGGGATCAGGACCAGGGGAGCCCCAGTCTCCTTACCATTGAGCCACTTGGAGTTATACTGGGCAGTGCGGAGTGGTGGTCCGCTGCCCAGGCTGCGGTAGATGGCAGGATCCCGACCCGAGAAGTCGATGACTGTGGCGGCATAGAGCTCCCCCTGGGAGGAGATGACGGCTGTGGAGTTGTGGCGCGGGTCATAGGGACAGCGGGCCACACCATTGATCTTCTCGATAGTCCGGTTGAGGTTCCCCACCTGGGGACAATCGGGAGAAGGGGATGCTTTTCATTGAGGCCCTAGGGCTGCCTTTTCTTTCCATCCCAGAGCTTTGTTTTCTCCTGGGCCTCTGGGCTCCTCCAGCATCCTCCTCACTGCCCACCCCATAGTACCTCTGAGGGCGCAGCCATGTGGAGGGCCACGTCCTGCCAGGAGCTGCACCTGCCTCTGGCCCCTGCCCCCTAGTCAGGACCCTCCAAGGTAAGGCTGATCAATAAAATACAGGAGGCCCAGTTAAAATTGAATTTTAGATGACAAACAAATAATTTTTTAGAAAAAGTTTGTCTCAAATACTGCACAGGACATAGTTTTGCTAAAATACCATTTGTTGTTTATGTGAAATCCAAATCTAACTGGGTATCCTTTCCTTTGTTTTGGCTTTGGGTTTGTTTTTTTGCTAAATTTGGCAACCCCCCTCCAAGGCTGGGTGCCTGGGTGAAGAACCCTCCCTCGGTGCCCTCCAGAAGCCTGTCGCACCCTGAGCCACCCCACCTGTCTGCTGGAGCACACTGGGGAAAAGGCGTTGGTCCCGCACATGAACACCTTCCGGCCAGTGACGATCAGGACGCGCACGTAGTTCTGACACTCCTCCTAAGGTAGGAAGGAAGGGAACAGGGGCACAGCTCTGCTGGGTAATCAAAGGTGTGCTGGGTGTCCTCTCCCACAGTGTTCCCCTCTACCCCACATCCACCCCACTCCCCTCCTACCCAGCCATCTCTCTGCGTCACTGTCCACTCAGGTGCTCAGGACTGACTAGCCACAGGGCTGCAGTGTCACCTGCACAAGCAGCCCTGGCGTATTGAGCCAGGCCTCCCAAGCACAAGACCTCACACTGTGTCCCTCCATCCCTGCAACCACAAGTCTCCTGCCAGCTCCACACTGGCCCCCTGGGACCACTAAGGCCACGTACCTCAGTCTTCCCTTTGCTTTGGCACGAGCGGCGTGTGTCCTCATTGGAGGCCCACTCTGTGGCCTGTGGGAGGAACACACAGACATCACAGGCTGTGCCATTCATTGTCACTCACCACCTGAGCAGGCAGCAGCCCATGTCTGCAGTGGACAGGAAGCTGTGAAAGGCTCAGGGACCGCCTGCAGGGTGAGGGTCCTCTCACCACATCCTTGTGGACCTGGATGGACCGCCAGATCCTCTTACCCAGAGGCCTTTAATGAGTGGACGGCCATCAGCCCAACACCCTCCCGCCTGCTTGGGTCAGCGACAGCCTGGAGTAACAGCTTCCATATGCTCTGTCCCCATCCTTCCTGCCCAAGGTCAGCCAAGGAGCTGGAAGTGGCCAAGAAGGACCTTCAATCCACCTCAGGCCCTGAGTGCGAGAGAGGAAATGTGCCTCTATTATGTGCCAGATGTCCCCCAACTGAGCGAGAGGCAGGGAGGGAGGAAAGGCTAGATTTTGCAGACCTTTTATACAGGAGATTTCATTTTCCCACAACGACCCTGCATAGTGTTTTGTTTTGTTTTTTCTCCTTAACAGATGAGGAAACTGAGGTTCTGAGTGACTTGCTTAAGGTCAAGTGTATGTGGTAGAGCAAGGATTAGAACCCACATTCCTGATTCCAAAGGCTGTTTGTTTTTCCTCTTTATTCCACTGTCTTAAGGGCCTAGGACTTCCCCTTTCCTGATTGCTGTCCTCCCCACCCCTCCATCGCCTGCACCTCCCTTCTTGTTTCCTTCTTGTAGCATCACTCTGTCGTGGGGTAACATGTTTGGGATGCAACTTTCACTCAGGGACCTGGAGCACAGTACCATGTCCTCACATGCCCATGGCAATAGGAGAGGGCTGTTCCCACCCAGGATCCCCCTTTCCTCTTCATCTATTCTGTCTCTGCTCTCCCTGAATAGCAGCTGAAGGGAGGATACCCTTCAAAGTCTAGGCAATGTCAACAGCCCTGGTGTGGCTCATTATGTGTTTCTGGGTCACATGTATAAACATGAATTGCCTACCTGTCCTGGGAGAGGGAGCCCTGAGCAAGCAGCTTTCCCATCCAAACTGGGCGGGGGGACACCCACCAGCTTCTAATTCCTAACGAGGCTGCTTCTTGCCATGAAGTCACTGCCTGCAGAGCTCCAAGGTCTGGGAGGGGAAGCTGGGGTCACAGAGAGGGAACAGGAGGGCCGTTCTCTGCTTTCTAGGCTCAGAGACCTAACCTGGAGATGGTTGTTCTGTGATGCGGAGGGAGGCTGCCTTCTGCAGACCCTGGATTCAGGAGCTGGGTGATGAGTCTGGTCAGGCCTCCCCTCAGGCCTGAGAGCAGACTGGGTTCATCCCACCATGCCAGGTCCAGGGCTCAGGCCTATGCCTCTCCCAGGCCTTGGAGAAAGGCAAGTGACCCCTGGCGTCTGGCCACAGAGCCTAGGGGTTCATCTAGACAGAAACAAGCCTTGTCATACTCAGGACCCATCAGCTCCCAGGCTGAGCCTGATAAGAGAGAACAGAGGGACATAAAGGGGGCAGAAAAGGGCAACGACCCATAAACGCTGAAGATGTCTAGGCCAAAAGCTCTGGGCAGCGGGCGGCCGCGGGGGTACTGAAAGGGCAAAAGGTCCTCACTGGGGCCTTGAGGTCCCTGAGCACAGAGGCATGTTGAAGGGGTCACCCTTGTTCCTAAGGGTGTGGGAATCCCACTGGGTGGGGGCACATGGGTACAATAAAAAGGAGTTACAGCTACAATGAGCTCAACAACATGACAGGCACTACGCCTAGGGCTTGGGACACTCTCTCCTCTCATCCTCACAACAGCAGCCAAATGCAGAGCTGTGTGCTCATTCTACAGGGAGGAAGCTAAAGCCCAGGGAGGCTGAGCAATTTGCCCAAGGTCACGCAGCTAGTAAGCAACAAACCCGAGATGCACACCCTGACAACTGACACCAGAGCTAATCTCTTTCTGCTACATCCTGCAGCCTCTCCCAGTAAACAGATTTCTCCTATCAAAAGTTAGACCATATGGCTTGGAAGGAATATGTACATTTATAAAGATAACAGCAGAGAACAGGCTTTTTGAGTCATTTTATTTATTTTTAATTAATTTTTTTATCAAAGTAATGATGCACAGAATTTAAACAGTTAAATAATATGGAAAAAAAAAATCAATAAAAACCCCAGCAAGCCACTCCTCCCACACCCAACCCCTTTTCCCAAGGACAACCACTTTCAACTCTTTTAGTGGTTTCTGTGTTTTTTAAATCCAATTTCTCAAAAATATGTATCAGTCCGAGACTTCATCTTTTGACTTCCTGTTATGAAGGTGAAGGTTTTTCCCACTTACCCATTCCTATCCTTTCCTATACTAAAGCACACATCCATTTCCTCCCTTCTCATCCTAACTATTTCATATTTTTAATTAAAACCAACATCAGCATTTACATTATTGTAAATACATAAAAATTGTTCACTGCTACCAATGGGTACTCCAGACTTCACTGAAGGTAAGACACCCGTGGTTTGTAATCTGAACCACTAAGAAAGAAAATGTTGCCAATCAAACCTCTAATTACTTAAGCTTTTAATGTAAACTTATTGAAAATGCTCTTTTTTAGACATTTTTTTTATCAAATATCAATCTTGTGCCTACAAATAAAATAAGCAAAATCAATTGGGTAATTATCCTTAAGCCTTCTTTGAATTCGGAGTTCACCTCTTCTGAATCACTTTTCTACTCAGAGTTGACAGTGCTGGTTTGTTGTTGTTAATGTTTGGTGTTCTTAGAGAATCATTCTTTGAACCACCCAGGGTGTCAGTGACACAGCCGTTCTTAAAGAACATTCCACTCTGGTCTTCAGGATTTTCTTCCAAGCCATTGACCCCGTTCTGCACAGACCCCGTTCTGCACGTGTGGATGCTGGCACTTTCTTGATCTTACTAGAGGTGTCCACAGAAGGTTTTCTGACAAATCAGGACTCATATTCCTTCTTCATATGATCCTAAAATGGATTGTGGGTTGCTGTTGTCTGGTCAGAACACCAGAAATAATGACCAAGTTCAGGCCTGCACAGGCAATGACAAGTGTATCAGGATACGGTCTGGCCAAGAGTGACTGTAACATGCCTTTGACTGAAAGACACATCCCAGTTTCAGACTCACTAAAATGTGAAACCATGTACATGTGAGAAACAATGAAATATTCATATTCTGATGAGGTCTCCTTTCTTGAGCAACTTTTTGTTTTTCCCAGACTGAATAATTGTCTTGATTTTCTTCATTTGCTATTGCATGTACCTAACACTAATTTTTCCCAAATGTCCAACAGGTCTTACGAATGAATCCCTCTCAATATCATTTTCTACCTGCACGCACAAATGATCCAGGTAATCTATTAGTTCCCATCCCCTTCCTTGTCCCCCAGCCTCCATCCTCCTGTGCCAGGGGACTGGTTGCTCCTGAAGCCTTCTGCTTGGTTATTAATCTGGGACTTACCTTCTCTCCTCTCTTGCTTTCTGAATCCCATGTTTCCCTCTTTCTTGATTTACTTGCTTATTTTGTAGAACACATCTCCAGTATCTTCCTAAGAAAAGGAACATGGTAGATCAATTTTTAAAAATTCTTGCGTGTCTGATTTATTCTCTCTTCATACTTGATCGATAGTTTTGATACAGGACTCTAGGCCGTGCACAATTTTTGCTCAGAATTTTAAAGGCATTTATTTGTCTATTGTCTTCTAGATTCCAGCATTGCTACTGAGCAATCTGCTGCAATTCTTATTCCCCATCCTGTGCAGTGACCTTTTTCCCCTCCTTTTTTCTTTAGGCTCTGGAACTTTTAGGATCTTCTCTTTAATAACAGTGACCTGAACTTGACAGTGCTGTGCCTTAGTAGGGGTCTCTTTTGGGAACTCAGTCAACCTTTTCAATGTGAAGACATCCTCTGTTCTGGAAAATTTTCTTATGTTATTCCATCCTTTCTTCCTTACCTTTTTCTCTGTTCTCTTTTTTGGAACTCATTAATCCAATCCACTGTTGGCCCTTGTGCATGGATCCTCTAGTTTTCTGATATTTCTCTCTTAGTTTTCATTTCTTGTTTTTTGTTGTTCTAATTTCTGGTAGATTTTTCTTCAACTTTATCTTCTAATCCTTCAACTCGATTTTTTTCTTGTTTTTTGTTTTTCTAATTTCTGGTAGATTTTTCTTCAACTTTATCTTCTAATCCTTCAACTCGATTTTTTTCCCAATCGCATTTTTAACTTTTATATTTTTATTTTATTATTTTATTATTATTATTTTTTGGCAGCTGGCTGGTACAGGGATCAGAACCCTTGACCCTGGTATTATAAGACCACATTCTCACCAACTGAGCCAATCAGCCAGCCCATTTTCCATATTTTTAATTTATTGTTTTATAAACAATGCTTTTTATATTTCAGAAGATACTAATTCATTTTTTACAATTAATTCTAAAAAATGGTTCTTTGTATTTTTTTCAAATTGTGTCCGTTTCTCACAGCTTCCTTCATTTTGTTTGCTTATTTGTTTTGGCCTTCTCTTGCACTTTAGAGGTTTTCCTCAAATATCTGGTGATTTTTGGCTATTTGTTCATATTTAAAAATAAACCACCAACCACTTCCCACTAAAAAGAATCAGGGCTTCTTGGAAAAATGGCTGATCCCAGGTCTGGGGCAGCAAATGCAGAAGGTGAGCCTGGAATATCTTGTCCCATCAGATAGCAAGGATGCCACCAAAGACGACTAGGGGAGGGTCAGCAGGACCCCGGAGCCAACTTGAAGAGAGGCTCCCACTGGTGAAAGGTGGGACAGTCATGAAAGATAACTGCAATGGATTGAAACACATCGACAATGTATAAATCTATACGTCTGTAATGATAATAATAAAAGACTAAAATTAATTGACCACCATTGAAAGAGTCTAGCAAACCAGCTCACTAATTGAAAACTAGTAAATAAAGACAGAGTATCAAACATTATCTTGCCTTTCCTATAAGACTGTATCACTGGGTAGTCAAATCA